TTTTACAGAAGAACCCAATTTTCAGCATTCTACTAACATCTCGTTTGATCAAATTCAATAAGCAATAACTTCAAGCTTGAAATTCAAATTTTATGCGGGAAATTCAAATTCGGATAGTCTCTCTTCATTTTACGACAATTCCAGAGTGTCTTCAACAAGAGCTTCTGGTATTGTTGGCAAAAGGGGTAGGTCTAACCTCTTCAGATGAAGAATGACCTAGAAATACCATATTAAGGCTTATAGTACGATGTTGAACAGGCCCTGAACCAGATGTGGGAACCCGGTAGGTACACTACTATTAACAACTGTAATGGTAACATTTCTTCTCTGATTCTTGTAGGAAATATCAATGAAGATTTGAAAACCAATCCGTAAAATGCATTTTCATTATACTCATAGATAATAGATATACAAAGGGTAATAGATGGTCAACTCGAAATGCGCTGATTTGCGCGCCCTCCGGCAGGTCTAGTCAATACTAAATAAAAAATGCGAGCACTTTAAATTTGTTAGTTACTTATTGTTTTTCGTAGTGTGTAAGTTAATGTGCAAAAACAATGCAATTTTCCTTTTTTATAAAAGAAAACACATTGTTTCTTTTGTAAAAAAGGAAATATATTGTTACTTGTCCATTTTTCACCTTAACATAAGAATTTGTGAATTTGTCCAAAAGTAATTATAAGTGAAGTAGTAAAAAATATTTATTGAATCTGTTGAGATGATGTTGGTAGTAGTTAAGTTTTATTATTTGCGGTATTTTAAGTTGGCAATATAGTTGATGTTAAGTTCCTGTCATTTATCAGTGGTAGTATTTTAATTTTTCAGTCTTGTCTATGGTTGTAAAGAGCGCACTTGTACAAGTTCTAAATAAACGTTCTAATAGGTTATGGGCCCAGGACACGTTTTTTGAAGAAAGCCGGTCGTTTATTTTTCGTTGTTTTCTTAAAAATCCTTACACGTTCGAGTCGTGAAGTGGAAAAATAGGACATATATCGCGAAGTGTGAAGTTTGAATTACGTTCAAGTCGTATTAAAGAAACAATAATGGCAAATGCGATGATAAGATTTGATTCTGGAAACATTCCTAAGTTTGATGGGAGCAATTTTCAACTGTGGAAATTTAGCATTACAATTCTATTTAAGGCAGAGAAACTATTATCGATTGTCAATGGAACAGAACAGGAACCGACAGATGATACTACGACAGCATGGAAAACATGGGAAACAAACAATTCTAGAGCCCAAGTAATTTTGTTGTCAACTATAAATCAAGATCAAATGCAACATTTAATAAATTGTGAAACTGCAGCTCAAATGTGGTCAAGATTAATTGCAATACATGAACAAAAAACAGAGGTTTCTAAAGAATTACTTTGGCAGAAATTTTATGAATATAAAATGGCTGAAAATGCAAAAATAGCTGATCATATTTCATCAATTGAACTGTTAGTTAGACAACTAAAAGATGTAAAAGAAAATATAAGTACAAGTGCAATTTGTTCTAAAACAATTAGCAGTCTACCAGCGAGATATAATGGCTTTCGTACCGCGTGGGATTCTGTTTCGAGTGATCAACAAACGTTTGAAAATTTAGCAGCAAGGTTACTTAAGGAAGAGGTTAGAATGACAAGTGACGATTCCGAAGTGTCTCGTCTTGCTTTGCAAGTTGAAGCATTGCAAAGTAAATTAGAAGATAGGGGTAAGAAAAAGAGAAACATAAATGAATTAAAGAAAAACAGCAACTGTAACTATTGTAAAAAGAAGGGTCACTGGATACGAGAGTGTAGAAAAAGGAAAGCAGATTTCAGAAATAATGAAGCAAATAGTGAAACAAATTCTGCATCAAGTTCTGCATATATTTGTGAAATTACGTCTTTATTTTTATCAAATACCAACGTAGAGAAAAAGGAATGGATATGTGACTCAGGTGCAAGTATGCATATGACAAGTGAGAAGGACTGGTTTATAAAACTAGAACCTTTGAGTAAACCTATGTACGTAAGAATAGCAAATAATAAACTAATCCCTGCAATCAGTAAGGGTGTTATTGAAATACAAGCTTTCGTTAAAGGTCACTGGTATGACAGAACCATAAATAATGTTCTCTATGTTCCGGAACTTAGCCATAACTTGTTTTCAGTGGGAGCAATGACGGATAGAAATTTCACTTATCATTCTTACAAAAATAAATGTGAATTTAGCGACAGCAATGGACAAGTATCATGTGTAGGGATACGTAGAGATAATCTTTGGATAATGAAATTTAGAGTTAAATCATTAATCCCAGAGTGCAATTTAGCTAACAAAAATTCATTGAAACTTTGGCACGATCGTTTAGGACACATCAATAACAATGCAATTAAGAAAACAGTTGATTTGGTCAAAAATTTGAAAATTGACAATAAAGAAGAATTTTTCTGTGAGACATGTCAATTTGGAAAACAGATAAGAACGTCACACAAAAGTTTAGCCAGAGACAGGGCAAATAAACCTGGTGAAATGATTCATTCTGATGTGTGCGGCCCAATAAATGTTTTATCTCCGAGTGGGTCGAGATTTTTTGTTTTGTTTAAAGATGATTGCAGCGGTTATTCTGTCGTTTATTTCTTAAAGCACAAGTCAGATGTTCTAAGCAAGTTTAAAGAGTACAAACAGCTTGTAGAAAATCAAACAGGTAATAGGATAAAGTTTTTAAGAAGTGACCAGGGTAAAGGCGAATATATTAATAAAGAGTTTGAAGAGTTTATAAAGAAAAGTGGTATTTCACATGAATGCTCAGCCCCTTACACTCCTCAACAGAACGGAAGGAGTGAAAGAGAATTAAGAACAATAGTAGAATGTGCCAGAAGTATGTTAATTAAGAAAAATGTACCACAAGAACTCTGGTCTGAAGCAGTCAACACGGCAGTGTATATACTAAATAGAACTGCTTCAAGTAAAATCGAAAAAATGACTCCTTACGAAAAATGGTTTGGTCGAAAACCAAATATTAACCACATGAAAATATTCGGAAGTACAGCATACATGTCAATTCCACCACAATTCCGGAAGAAATTTGATTCGAAGAGCCAAAAGCTATTGTTCGTCGGTTATGAAAATTATTCATCGAATTATAGACTATGGAATCCGGAAAAGAAAAGAATTGAAGTAAGTTGTAATGTCAAATTTAATGAGAATGAGATCATGCCAACTAAAAAGGATACATTTTCGTTAAAATTTGGAATTTTGGAAGAAAGTGCGAGTCAAGAAGAAGTACAAGAAATAGAGGAAAACAACAGTATAGAAAGTTCAGAAATTTCAGAGAGCATAACAGATCAAAGGGACAGTGATGAAGATTTTCATCCAAGTGAGGAGGAAGAAGAACATCTAAGTGCATGTGATAATGAAAGACAATTACGCGATAGAAATGCAATATCAAGACCAAAATATTATGGTGTAGATGCAGATTTTTGTACAATCTTCGAGCCTACAAGTTATGAAGATGCTATAGAGTGTGAAGACTCTCATAAGTGGCATCAAGCAATGGACGCAGAAATGAATGCTCATAAAACTAACAACACGTGGGACTTAGTGAAAAGGCCGAACAATGTAAAATTGATAGACAATAAGTGGGTTTTTCGGGTAAAAACTGACCAAGAAGGTAATCCGTTTCGTTACAAAGCGCGTCTCGTGGCACGTGGGTTTATGCAAGAAAGAGGTGTTGACTTCGAGAACACTTTCGCGCCGGTTGTGCGATATGACTCTATTCGAATTCTACTTGCTTTGGCCGCTGAAAAGAACCTCAAGATTGCCAATTTTGATGTACAGACCGCTTTTTTGTACGGTGATTTGACAGAATGTGTATACATGCAACAGCCTATAGGATACGAAAATAAAAAGAAGCCGGACTTTGTTTGTAAGTTAAATAGAAGCTTATATGGACTGAAACAATCTCCTAGGTGTTGGAACCGCAAGTTCGTAACTTTCCTTAATCAATATAGTTTTAAACAATTAAAAACTGACCAATGTGTATTTGTTGGAAATTTTGTGGACGCTGAAATTTATTTAGCTATTTATGTGGACGATGGACTACTAATATCAAAATCAGAAAGTGCAATTACTGAACTAATTAAAAGTTTGCAACAAATGTTTAAAATAACTATGCATTCGAACGAAAATAGAATACAGTTTGTTGGTCTAGAAATTGAAAGAAATTTGCAGGAAGAGACAATAACCATCCACCAGCAGACTTACATAGTGAAACTTCTCAAGAAATTTAATATGAATGATGCTAAGCCGGTAACAACTCCTGCAGAACCTAATGCTCCTTTATCTATGCCGAATAGTGATTTACAATGTAATAAAGCATTGCCGTATCGTGAAGCTGTTGGGTCTCTAATGTTTTTAGCTACAATAAGTCGGCCAGATATTACATACGCGGTGAATCAAGTAAGTCGATTCTTTAACAGTTGGACTAATGAACATTGGCAAGCAGTAAAGCGAATTTTCCGTTATTTGAAACACACTATAAATTACAAAATAATATATTCCAAAACAGCAAAAATAGAAATCAAAGGTTATACCGATGCAGACTATGCGGGTTGTGTAAATACGAGAAAATCTACCAGTGGTTACGTGTTCATACTGGCAAATAGTCCAATTACATGGAGAAGTCAGAAGCAAAATGTAGTCGCCCAGTCTACTACCGAGGCGGAATATTTGGCATTATCTCTTGGAATTAGAGAGGCTTTATGGCTGAAGCAATTCCTTAAGGAGCTGGGGCATCAAATCTCAACAATACCAATTGGAGTTGATAATCAGTCGGCGATTAAACTAGCACAGACGCAACAACTCCACAGTAGGACCAAACATATCGACATAAAGGTACATTTCGTAAGGGATGAATGTGAGAAAGGGACCATTACCGTGAACTATATAAATTCGGCTGATCAGTTAGCGGATTTGTTTACAAAGCCCCTAACGAGACCGAAATTTAATAATTTGTTACAAAAATTAAATCTGTTAGTTTAGCTGTATTTATTATGTTTCATTGTTCAAGCATGTAGTTTAAATATTTTTGATGTACATTTGTAAAACTAAGAAGTAATGTAAAACTTAATACGTAAGTGGGAGTGTTGAGATGATGTTGGTAGTAGTTAAGTTTTATTATTTGCGGTATTTTAAGTTGGCAATATAGTTGATGTTAAGTTCCTGTCATTTATCAGTGGTAGTATTTTAATTTTTCAGTCTTGTCTATGGTTGTAAAGAGCGCACTTGTACAAGTTCTAAATAAACGTTCTAATAGAATCTAACAAATACACTTGTACAAAATTAAATATTTTATGTAATTTGAACAGACAATCGGCCAAATAGAAAAGGTCACAAAACAGAAGAAACAGTAATATAGTTTAACTTAATAGTAACACTTTAAACTTTTAACAATTTTCAGTAGTAAGAAGTATGCATAAAAATTGAATGTTAGTCAAACTTTTTGGAAACATTTGCCTGAAATTGTGGTAAGGCAACTTAAAGAGAGGCTCGAAGGGGGGCGGCGATCATCAGTGGCTGTAAAATCTGTAAAAATAATAAAAATTATACTAACACAGGTACCTCACGGATTACGTTAGAAGAAAAAGTATGAATAAAAATTGAACGTTAGTCAAACTTTTTGGAAACATTTACCTGAAATTGTAGCAAGACAACTTAAAGAGAGGCTCGTAGGGGGCGGCGATCATCAGTGGCTGTAAAATCTGTAAAAATAATGAAAATTATACTAAAAAAGATACCACATGGAATACGTTCAAGAAAAAATATGAATAAAAATTTAACGTTAGGAAAACTTTTTGAAAACATTTACCTGAAATTGTGGCAATACAACTTAAAGAGAGGCTCGTAGGGAGGTGGCGATCATCAGTGGCTGTAAAATCTGTAAAAATAATGAAAATTATACTTAGAAAGGTACCGCAAGGAATACGTTCAAGAAAAACAGTATGCATAAAAATTGAACGTTAGACAAACTTTTTGGAAACATTTACCCGAAATTGTGGCAAGACAACTAAAAGAGAGGGTCGTAGGGGAACGGCGATGATAGGTGACTATGAAATCTGTAAAGGTAATGAAAATTGTAGTTACAAAGGTACAGAAGACTTGTAGAGAAAATATGCATAAATATTGGACATTAGTGAAGCTTTCCAGCAAGACAACTGAAGGAGGGGCAGTTAGCTGTTTTGAAATTGTTTTTTAATTGATTCAACTTCAACATCCATATAGCCATCAACTTCAATATACATATAGCAATTATCTGCGATATTTCGCACAAAGGCCATGTAAGGTGTGTTTGTAAGTTATATCCAAATTTTTACATACGTATAACACACACACATACACTTTCATCCAATTAAAAAACAAAGATGTGAGATAATTGTAACCATACATAATTACAAGAGAACACATTCGGAAACATTATGTTAGTATTTTATGCGATTATCTGCAAATAATATCAATACTTTGCAGTAGAAATAACGCACTGACTTTTTAAAACAAACAAATGCGTAACGCAACTGTGCAATAAATAGTACGTTTTGTAAAGTGACAGAGAAACATATACATTACAGTGATCGGTAAAAATTGCATTTGTTCCGACTTAAAAGCTTCATTTTGATGGAACGCGAAGGAAGAAAGAAAATTGCGCTACAAATAACAAGACAAGGAAGACGATTGAAGTTAACTTTTCTGTAAAATCATGTTTTTGTGGAAATTTCCCATTAAATATGCCATAGTTATAATTCTTTGCCAATTGGATTTTATAAACAATAATGTATTATTATTATCCTCATTTTAATCAGTAAACTTTAACTAATTTTCCAACTAAAATCCCTATCCCTATGTTAGCGTACTTCATTAGGTGTATATTACACAAACAAGTGTACAATCATGGAAAGAAAATTATTGAATATTTATATTTATAATTTCGTCATTTGCATATTTACGAATGTTGTTTTCTATATTGTAATTATTTCTGCAACAAAATTAGAAATGTAATTCATTTACAGGATGTATGTCAACAGTACACGAAAACTTTCTTTCGGTACGGTGTTATTTGTACTTTGTCAAGTTACCGGATTAGTAGTTTGCATGAGGAGATTATTCACTCTTTTTTNAGAGAATGACAAACTGTGTGCGCTGTTGGGCAAAAACAAAAAATAGAATGGAAATTTAACGTTAGGAAAACTTTTTGAAAACATTTACCTGAAATTGTGGCAATACAACTTAAAGAGAGGCTCGTAGGGAGGTGGCGATCATCAGTGGCTGTAAAATCTGTAAAAATAATGAAAATTATACTTAGAAAGGTACCGCAAGGAATACGTTCAAGAAAAACAGTATGCATAAAAATTGAACGTTAGACAAACTTTTTGGAAACATTTACCCGAAATTGTGGCAAGACAACTAAAAGAGAGGGTCGTAGGGGAACGGCGATGATAGGTGACTATGAAATCTGTAAAGGTAATGAAAATTGTAGTTACAAAGGTACAGAAGACTTGTAGAGAAAATATGCATAAATATTGGACATTAGTGAAGCTTTCCAGCAAGACAACTGAAGGAGGGGCAGTTAGCTGTTTTGAAATTGTTTTTTAATTGATTCAACTTCAACATCCATATAGCAATGAAATTCAATATACATAAAGCAATTATCCGCGATGTTTAGCAAAAAGGCCGTGTAAGGTGTGTTTGTAAGTTATATGAAAATCTTTACATATGTATAACACACACACTTTCATCCAATTAAAAAACGAAGATGTGAGATAAGTGTAATTATTTATGAGAACACATTCGGAAACATTACTTTACTATTTTCTGCGATTACCTGCAAATAATATCAATACTTTGCAGTAGAAATGACGCACTGGCTGTTTTAAAAAAACAAATGCGTAACACAAAAAGTAGGTACTTTTTTGTAGACTGATGGAGAAATATATACATTAGAGTGATCGGTAAAAATTGCATTTGTTCTGACTCTTAAAAAGCTTCATTTTGATGGAACGCGAAGGAAGAAAAAAAATTGCGTTAAAAATAACAAGACAAGACAAGGAAGACGATTGAAGTTAATTTTTCGGTAAAATCATGTTTTTGCGGAAATTTCCCATTAAATATGCCATAGTTATAATTCTTTGCCAATTGAATTTTATAAACAATAATGTATAATTATTATCCTCATTTTAATCAGTAAACTTTAAGTAATTTTCCAACTAAAATCCCTGTCCCTATGTTAGCGTACTTCATTAGGTGTATATTACACAAACAAGTGTACAGTCACGGAAAGAAAATTATTGAATATTTATATTTATATTTTCCTCATTTGCATATTTGCGAATGTTGTTTTCTAAATTGTAATTATTTGTGCAACAAAATTAGAACTGTAATTCATTTACAGGATGTGCGTCAACAGTACACGAAANTGCGTCTTAACCACTTGTTAAAACGCTGTATTAAAATACAGATTGCAGTTCGAATAAATTTTTATTTTTAGTGCAAGTACAAAGTTTTTTCTTTTTTGTTACAAAGTCAACCGTCTTTATTGGAGTTCAATTTGAGTCTCCTTGAAAACTCAAGTTAAAATGTATCCAGTACCGTCGCCACCCCTCACCCTTGGTTATTTAGTCAGGGTCACTTCGTGACGGTACGGTGCGATTTCTAAAAAACTACAACTTGTAATTTATGACATGACCGATCACCCTCGGCATGCTGTTAAAAAATAGTCCCTAACAATTTTTCCTGCACTTTCTAATTTTAGAATCTATTTCTAAGTTCTTTACAATTTTGAAATTTCTCTTTCCAAGAAAAGGTCTCAACATTTTCAATAACCATTGAACCGTACAATTTATGTACTACTTCTTTTCTTCTCATGTAATTAGATGTTGAAACAGTATACATTTCTTCCTTTTCATAATATTCGACTATTACGGAAAATATTGAATGCAAGTTTTAGTGGCGTTTCGGTAACTTCCTTTTCGCCAACTATTGCGGTGTACTTATTTAAAAGAAACACGTATTGATATACAATTGCTATATTGGGCCATTTACTCCTTAAGAATCGATTTTCATATATAAGGCGCCCGGTAGGGAAAATATATGAGGAGTGAAATTTGCACTAGCGTTAACTCAAAAGCGTTACGTTTTTCTACGCAACTTTTCTGCGCAACTTCACTATTGTATGGGTATACTCGTATACAGCCAACGTGTATAGCATACGCAACAGCTGACGTGTGTATAATATATATAGGGTGTCCCAGTTATAATAATTAATATTTATACCACAGATTCTTACGGACATTTGGAACATAAAATGTTATAACACTTTTGACTTTTGAAACAAAATAAAAAATTATAAAATTATAACAGTTTCGATGCCGGCCCTGCACAATCGCAAATTAATTACGATTGCCAGCTGATCGTAGAAAAATTCACCTTCAGTAGGTCGGAATCAGCTGGTTTTTGGGGTGATGTTATTGTTTATGTTTGGTATTAAGTTACGGATCAGCCGAAGAAAATGCACTCGCGTTAAGGTCCATTAGATGACTGAAACACGTTAGAAAAACTATGTACCTATCACAATCGAAAATCCCATGATCGTAAACTGAAGTGGACCTAATGTAGTCCATGACGTCGAGTATTATGTTATTTTAAATACAAAAGAAATTTTAACAAATACGGAATAGTTAGAAGCCGTGCACAAACAATCCTCACCACCCAGCGTTTGGTAAAAGTTTGTAACATAACGTACTAGTGTACTAAAACAAATGTATGTGTTATGGTTGTAAAAGATGAGACAAGATGCAGACCTACTTTGACCATTCACATGTGTTAAACGTTAGTTTTCTCTGGCAGGGCTCATTAACCCCACGTGGGGTAATACAAGG